TTGGTATTCTATTGGTTTTCCATTTAATTTTGGGGTGAAATTTGGCCTGGATGTGATTTCATGCTTTAAGTTTGACAAACTAGATTTAAAATGGCCATAATATCAGCGATGACAAATGTGGTGATAATTATTTGTGATCCCTGTGAGCTATAACATAAAAACACAACTGAAACCAGCATATTTTGCTGAGTGATCATGTGGTTATTGAGGGAAAATCCTGACGCTCTGAATCACAGGACACCCCCACTGAGTTACTGTATTCATTAAGAACAATTAAGTCTCTAATGACTAAATTAATTGCATAATCTATTATTTTGCTCCCTCGACACGGCGCAGGCTGAAGTTAACAGGCTGATGGGGATGACGCGTTCCTCGAAGGGGATAATACGGGAAGCCAGCGGAATTAATGGGGTTTGATTAAGCGAGGTTTTCAATGGGACACGGCTCTTTTCGCATGACATAATTAGAGGTCATGGAGAATGGGTGGGAGGCGCTGGGCTAGATTTGAGGCCTGGCGCCAGTATTCTTCTCATCGTGAAAAGGGTTTTTTTTTGGTCATCATTTGTAAACATGTGGAATGCTGATGATTAGTAGGACAGTTAGAAATGAATCATTTAGAGACATTATAACCTATATATGGGTGATTCTTCAATTACTTTACTTTAAAGGGGTCATATGATGCTGCTAAAAAGAACAGTATTTAAGTAGTTTCGCTTTCACAACGAATCACACGGCGCATTCACAACATGGTGGCAGCAACAATACTACAGCCAGAATAAAAGTTACGCCTTCTTTCTTTGCGTGAACATTTGGGCGGTGTTAGGCAAATCTTCCCACACAGTGACGTAGACATGTGGGGGCGTGTTAGAACGAGCCGTTTTAGGTAGGCGTGGCTGACCCTTAACTTTTATAAAGAATATCTCTTTGGATTTGAGACTTTAGTCTTTGCAGCTTTACAGATCTTCTTTATGCACCAAGAGCTTGTAACACTCCAAAGAGAAAGGAACAATTGAAATCGCATCATATGACCTCTTTAAAGGTAGTTGTTAATAATAAAATGTATAATAGCTATGAAACTTTTATATTGGGAAGCTGGTAGGCTTTATAATCAGAAATTCTACTTCGCCCTTTTTATTTATTTATTTTGCACAAGAACTTTCAACTATGAACAAAGTGGTATCTGTTATGTTTTAATTGTCAGATTGGGGCAAGTTGTCATATATCCTTTATACATGGTGCTACAATTGATTCATTTTAATTCATACATTTTATAAATAATTTTGTTTTTAGTAAAATTACAGTTCATTCATTCTAGTTTCTATTGGACAAAACATTTTTATGCTTTTCAATTTTACTGTTGAATTATGCTCGTTTTGCTCCTTATATTTAGCTTAAAAGCCATTAAATAGCCCCTAATATATTTTAATTACAGATGTGTTGAGGAAAATGACTTTTTTCTGCTTTAGATTCTATTTCATATTGCCCATTCTGTGTGACAACATGCCCCAGCATGTGTTTCCTTTTAAAAAACCTATCCTGATAAATATTCACTGGTGTAAAAAGTGTGACCTGTCTGTTTAGTACTTACACAAACACACATCTGGGTGAATCAATCAGCACCAGCGTGCCTATAATCTAGTTACAGATGTAATTTGCATGAGAGAAAGGCTCCAGATACTACTGGAAACACCCACTGCTAAAAACAGAATGTATGCCACCCTGCGTCTATAACAAGATTACATGAGAAATCATCCCAAAAGTGAAGATATTTTTTTTTCAGTGTGTGCTGTGCACTGATAGACTGACCTAATTTTGAAGAGCCACCTGCAGTTTCTATTAAAGTATGTATACATTAAGCTTAAGAATTTGGATGATTTGCATTATAGAACGATATTCCTTATCAACTGAACGACTCACTCATTAACAAAGTTGGCGCCATCTCATGGAGTAACTTTGAATCAATTGAAAATGATTCACTGTTTCGAATCGCTCGAAACTCCTCACGCTGGTGACGCCTGCTGGTCACAACTGTGCAAATGCAACAAAAACTCAGGCAAACATGCCTAAAAACATCTTTTTCGAGCCCATTGCTAATGCTTTATTGAAAGTGTGGTCAATGCACAACCATCAAATACCATTAAATATTAAGTTTATGGATATGTTTTTCATTTTATTTTATTTCAAAACATACCTAACCAGCATATGCTGTTTTTTTCAACAGGGGTACAGGGCTTGTTTTGTTTGTTTTATGTGTCATTAAAATGTTTAAACTAATCCGAGATCAGACAGGTAAACAACATAGACACTGGAGTTATTAGTATACTGTACTGGAGTCTGGTAGGCTACAGAATATAATATAATATAATATAATACAGTGCGCTAGGCTATGGTTGTCAAGTTCTCAGTATTCTTTGGCGCTGGCGCATTGGAACTAATTTCGCTGACGGAGCAGATGTAGGCTATACAAAATAACTGACCATATTCCGTCTAACATGTAAGTTATTCGATATTAACCCCCCCCCTCGAGCTGTTGTATAAAAACAGTGTCACAATCTTGTTGCCGGCACCATCAACTGGCAGCAGAGATTATACATTTATTTAGCAAGCTTCTGGAATACTTTGAGAAACTAAATAACCTTTCAGACTTGAGAAAAACATAACAATACAACCTCTGAGGAACACCATTTCTGCAGAGCTTGTTGACGATTCATTATTTTCGGAGACGATCGACATTGGGACGCATGAATATTTTAATTAAAAGCGTGTACTCTTCAATAAAATTCTAGTGCATTTAATCTATTAAATAACAGCAGAGTGAGCGAGTTTTTGGATATGGTAAGATTAAATTTATTTTAGTGAATAAAGTACCATTTCAGCGGTGGGTACAGTACACACAATGTTATTTTATCCTTGCTTATAGAAAATCCTCAATCTGCTTTCTAACAGCTTCATGTGGCCGTAAACATTTAATTTAGAGTGGTTTTAAGCACTATGCATCATTAAAGTTGCACTTTCACCACGACTAAGCCGGTAAATGTGGTGTTTACATGGAATAATCGTGATATGAGTTTACCTTGTGGTACAAACCTAGTCTCTGTATCAGTAGGAAAGCGATAAAACGATCGAGCATCTTCCATCTGATATATCACTCTTATCCCTAAACCTGGAAAAAATCCTAAATTAATAGACAATCTTAGGCCCATAACCCTGCTTAATAATGATTATAAGATTTTAACTCATATTTATGCTAACAGATTAAAAACCGGAGTTTCACAGATTATTTTTGAAAGGCCGCTCAATTCATAATAATATACGACTTGTGCTTGATTTACTGGATTATAATTATTTAATTGAAGATGGTTTCATTTTATTTCTAGACTTTTTTAAAACTTTTGTCACTATCGAACACAAATTTATGTTTCGTACTTTAGAATTATTTGGTTTTGGAGAAAATGTTATTCATCTAGTTAAGTTAATTTATAAAGACACAAATAGCACAGTTATATTACCACATGGTATATCTCCAAGATTCTCAATTGACAAAGGAATCAAACAAGGTTGCTCCATCTCTCCCCTGCTCTTTATTGCTGCTGCAGAAATGCTCTCCATTCTTATAAAAAATTCTGATTTTGAAAAATTGACAGTATTTGGCAAACAGTTAGTCATCAGCCAATTGGCAGATGACACAACCATATTCATGAAAAACATTGATCAAGTTCCAAAAATTCGAGCGAGTTTTTGGATATGGTAAGATTAAATTTATTTTAGTGAATAAAGTACCATTTCAGCGGTGGGTACAGTACACACAATGTTATTTTATCCTTGCTTATAGAAAATCCTCAATCTGCTTTCTAACAGCTTCATGTGGCCGTAAACATTTAATTTAGAGTGGTTTTAAGCACTATGCATCATTAAAGTTGCACTTTCACCACGACTAAGCCGGTAAATGTGGTGTTTACATGGAATAATCGTGATATGAGTTTACCTTGTGGTACAAACCTAGTCTCTGTATCAGTAGGAAAGCGATAAAACGATCGAGCATCTTCCATCTGATATATCACTCTTATCCCTAAACCTGGAAAAAATCCTAAATGAATAGACAATCTTAGGCCCATAACCCTGCTTAATACTGATTATAAGATTTTAACTCATATTTATGCTAACAGATTAAAAACCGGAGTTTCACAGATTATTTCAGAGACACAGTCAGGTTTTTTGAAAGGCCGCTCAATTCATAATAATATACGACTTGTGCTTGATTTACTGGATTATAATTATTTAATTGAAGATGGTTTCATTTTATTTCTAGACTTTTTTAAAACTTTTGTCACTATCGAACACAAATTTATGTTTCGTACTTTAGAATTATTTGGTTTTGGAGAAAATGTTATTCATCTAGTTAAGGAAGAAAAAGAATGCCTTAAATTTCTGTAATTTAATAGAAAATCTTCAACTTCCTGATAACCCCTAGTGTATATGTGTGTATGTGTATATATATATATATATATATAAATGTTTTTTCTCTTCTTCTTCCTCTTCTCCTTATGTTATGATGCTTGTCTGTTGTCTGAATAAGAAATGTAGCATTTTGTACCAGGCCATTTATGGTTGTAAAGTTCACATTGTTCAATAAAGTAAAAAAAAAAAAATCTTCCATTTGATATTGTGATGCATTTCGGGGCAAAGCAAATGAAACATAGTCGAACAACAATATGAAATGCGGGAAACTATTAATTGTTTTTTTCTACAATCAATTGTACTACAAATTATACTACAATTTGGAAATACTGTAAATTGATAAACTGTTCGACGTGATGTTTAATGTCTCCGACGGTGCCATGTAGTCCTTGTTAGCAACCGTCTTTTTTAAGAAACGTAACAGTTTAAAAAAATCATGAGTGGGGTGTAACTGGTGTGTTATGTCATAGAATAAAACGTGAAAGTATCTTGAGCTTAACTGTGTGAACCACGGACCTTATTTTAGGGTATTTAACCAAACTCCCATTCAAAAAAAAAAAACACTGACTCTGGGACGATGGAACCGGAAGTGCTAAAATGCTAACTCGCGTCCGGGTTTTTGCCTACGGAAGTGACGTTGGCTATTTTGAAAATGCAGTCGCAGGAAAAATTACAGAGCCGCGGGTTGCGGTTTTTTTACTTTTATAATGCACTGCGGCCGCCTAAAGTTGATCTATAGTCAAATCAAAATTGCAAAATGTATAATGCAGAGATGGACTATTAGGTGAGTTTCACCCACAGCAGATGTTAAGGCTTTCACACAGCAGAAATAATCACAACAACAGCCAGTCAAAGCATGCATGCTCTGCGAGTCTCTGTTCTCACAAACTAAAACTCACAGGTGAAGCTCATGGTGATTTCAGCGTCTGTGTCACCCTAAATGAGGACACGAACACACGAGCTTCATCGCTCTATCCACCTTTTTCTTGTTTTAAACATGGGCGCTGCCAACTATTAGGTGAGTTTCACCCACAGCAGATGTTAAGGCTTTCACACAGCAGAAATAATCACAACAACAGCCAGTCAAAGCATGCATGCTCTGCGAGTCTCTGTTCTCACAAACTAAAACTCACAGGTGAAGCTCATGGTGATTTCAGCGTCTGTGTCACCCTAAATGAGGACACGAACACACGAGCTTCATCGCTCTATCCACCTTTTTCTTGTTGTAAACATGGGCGCGGCCATTTGTAAATTCTATGGGTCTGACTTCCGGTCTCATGTCCACTCCATCCAGCTATTTTTAGCTGAACAAAACAGTTCGTTTTGCTGCTTGATATTGAAAGTTGGGGTGTCTTATAATATTATTTTAATGTATTATCTTAATTATGAACACACTGGTTTGTAGTGCAAGTGTTTTACCGTTTGCTGCACGTTGTTATTCTCCTTGTTATTTACCTATAGCGGTTAATGAACCGGAAGTCTCACCCATAGGCTTACTTCCGCGTTGAAGAAAAAGGTGGATAGAGCCTCTCCGAGAGTCACTTGAGAGCTTTTCACCGTTTCATTTGAAAAACTTGACGACAAACGTGAAGAAATTTTAACTGAAACATATTACTACGATGTACTTCTCAAAGTAATAATGCTATTACTGATATTCTTCATCAATGTTTTTATCAAACATAAGGTTTTGTCATGCAGCATCTTGTTTGACAAAAAAATAAAAATGCAATGTTGTGTTGTAAATTAATTGTTATATATGATCTTATATTTTACTTTATATTTTATATTTTTAAGATTAATTAAATTGTTAAAGTTTTATTAATCCATTTCATTTGCTTTTTGATGATACGTTTGTATTATCATAAAATACAAAAGAAATAAAATGGAAAACACAGAATTTAGGGGAAAATAAAATGGATTTCATGGGGCCCAAAATTAAAAGGTGGCTTAAAGGAGTTAAAGTTATGTTTACATTCATTCTCAAGGTCTAACTAACACGTGGGGAGCATTTCCTTTCATATTAATGGTAAATTAATGTTGTGATATAAATATTGTTATAGTATGATATGTAGAAAAAAAATAGTCGTCATATTTCTGGCCATATCGCCCAGCCCTAATTTTCAAATTTATAATGAAAAGTACTGAAAATTAAAATGAAAAAAGAGGAAAAGAAAAAATAAATATTCAATAATTAAAAATGCACATACTACATATAAACAAGTCTCGCTAAATAATAAAAAAAAGCATAGAATAAAAATGAAATTAAAAGGTTTATAAGCAGCTGTCAAATGTGTTTGGACAGGGCGAAAATTGGGCTAGTTTTCATTCTTTTTGGGTGGGTGTTGAGATATAAGCTTTTTTATTTATTTTATTTTAAAAAATTTTTATTGCAATTTTTAGAACACAGAACATATAAGGGTAATAACATTTAAACTGAATGAAAACAAATACTTAAAATAAATACATAAAAACTAAATAAGAAAAGCAATAAAAAAAACTCACGTCTGTAAACAAGTACAAATAATTACAAATTATTCAAAGAATAGATTTAAGGCTTTAAAATAATTTACAATTTTTTTTTTGCTTTGTTATTTCTTGTTTCTTTCAACGTATACAAGTAGTGACCTATTTCTATTCTGAAATGAGTAAAATTAGTTTTTTTCACTGCTGGACTTTTTTTCTGGGACCTGGCAACCCTGGCGGCGTTCTGCGCTCGTGAATTAATAAACAATTCAAGATGGCGACGTGTATAGTGTTGGCTGGCAGTCGCTCTGTGTTGTCTATTTCATTGTTTCTGCTTTTATTTGTATGTTTCATTAACCCGAACTACTCTCTTTGGACTTACTGCAAAACTTTGCTTCACATTCGCGCAGTGATGGCAGATCTCACTCCGAGCGGAGAATGTTGTTTACCCCCGAAGCGGACTCGGACTCGGAATCGGACTAACCGCCGGCGAAAGCGTGGCAACCGGGCTGGAGTCGCTGTGAAAGCCAGAGCGGCGGAGCTGCTTGAAAGACACCAGCTGGTTCGACGAAGCAATCCTCCGAGAGGAGTACTTCTTAGCAATCTGAGTTATATCGAATCGGATGTGGTCTCGAATGGAACTTCATCGCTCCCGTTGGAGTCTGGTACAGTAAAAATGGCATTTGGTTAACGCAAGATCGTTTGTTTTAAATGACTTTTTTTAGACAACATGATTTGGGTATTGTTTATTTCTGAAACCTGGCTTAAAGGGATAGTTCACCCAAAAATGAAAATTCTGTCATTTAATTGCTCACCCTCATGTCGTTCCAAACCTGTAAGACCTTTGTGCATCTTCAGAACACAAATTAAGATGTTTTTGATGAATTCTGACAGCTCTCTGACCCTCCATAGACAGCAACGCAACTGAAATGTTCTCAGGTCCAGAAACGTAGCAAGGACATCAGACCACATTGCTAAAACTGCTGCAGATTTGCTTTATTCAACAACAAGAAGATCAGGCCCTTTCTTTCTGAACATGCTTAACGACTCTTTGTACAAGCTCTTGTTCTGTCCAGGCTGGACTATTGCAATGCTCTCTTGGCAGGTCTTCCAGCCACTTCTATCAAACCTTTACAATGAATCCAGAACGCGGCAGCAAGATTAATTTTTAATGAGCCGCAAACCTTTACAATGAATCCAGAACGCGGCAGCAAGATTAATTTTGAATGAGCCGAAAAAGAACGCATGTCACATCTCTGTTTATCAATTTGCACTGGCTACCAGTAGCTGCTCGCATGAAACTCAAGGCATTAATGCTTGCCTACAAAACCACCACTGGCTCTGCACCCCTTTACCTAAATTCATTACTTCAGAGTTATGTGCCCTCTAGAAGCTTGCGTTCTGCAAGTGAACGTCGCTTTATTGTGCCATCCCAAAGA